ATTTCGTTTCTTCAAACCACAGCACACAACGAGCGCGCTCCGCACCTGTGAAAGTAGCCATTTTTAAATGCACTGCCGCTTGCGCTCGCGGTGACAGAATTCGGTACTACAGCACAACATGAGTCAAACTTGATTTGTTTTGCTACAAAATGACACCTCAACCGATTCTGTAAGCTTCCTGATTAAATTTCTATACACTTTAAAAGATGTAAAGTCCTTTTTGAATCACCTGGTATATCTATAGTCTATAGATGAAACTTTAAGGGAATGACAGATGGTTTCAAAAGTAGGATATTACATCACAAGATTACAACACTTGGAGAGGAACTGGCTCTTGAAATAGAGTGTACCATGACATGTTTTGTAATTTGCGTGTTATAACCGAGCGGGTGTCAGTGAATCCACCACCCCGGGGTGAACAATTGTTATCAGACGATATTTTCGCAGGTCCACACTTGGTACCCCATGGTACAGTGCCAGCATGTCTTAAACTGCCAGCGCATGTGCGAACATCTTCACTTCAATTTAATCTCAATTACAGTTGCCTTCACGCAAGTCTGATAATTACATTCACGTGGCCCACCAAATCGTGCTTGTAATCATTTTACTACATTGACGCTTACATGAATTTCATAGCCCTCAAGAATAATTTTCGAAAAATTACGAAAAAGAATTCAAAATCTGATAAAACAAAATATAATTACAGGATATATTGAACTGCCCATGACAGAGCTCACTGTGAAGGGCAAATGAGGCGAGGGGAAAGGGCTAATGTGAGACACTACATTTATTTCTGGGGACGGGGTGTCAGGTAACTTTCAGCTCTGGAGGTTCCCAGGCAGTTCCCGTTCGTCCTTCTGGTACATCAGAGACAAGTAAAAACGTGAAAAGTGCTTACGCAACAGCAATATTCATTGAGAGTCTATTTTTTTATCTTACTCAGCCAGACATCTTTGTGAGCTTTCTTAATAAAATACTTAATTGAAATAACTCACTACGCTCGGAGAAACTAAAACAGAATACTGTCAGATTACTGTTATTGATTTCACCAAAGGTTACAAATTCTTATGCAGTTAATGTCGTGTTTTAAATAGAACATTTTGTATATTCCAGTGCAGACACATATTTGAAAATCGCGTGCCGAGAAAGGCGTTTGGAACAAGGGGCCATCACTTGAGAGGGAAGTATGAAACCTTAAGTGGGACCCTCGCGTCTGATAAAGGCCACTAATATTGTCAGGGTAGTGAAATCAAGGCGATAACGATGAGTTATGCATATAGCCAGGACAGGGGGCGACAGAATGTATACAAAATATCGACGGGGAATCCTCTTAGAAAACCACTAGCAAGGTCGACAGATAGAAGTAAGAACGACAATAAGGAAGGATTTAGAAGGATGGAAAATGGAAGGGACTGGCTCAAGATCATGTCCAATTTATTTATATTTACGATGTATAACTTTAGCTTTCTTACATTCTAGAGTAGGGCAATCGAACTAGTATATGATTCTGGATCAGTTTTATATTTTAGCCCCGGCTGCATCACCAGAAAAGTAAAGCAGGCAGGACCTGACAGATTATGCCATTTACAATGTAATTAAGTGTCACGAAATTCAATGTAACAGGAGAATTAATAAGACAGGCACCTATTGTTCAATCATTTGTCTCCAATACAAACAAAAATACATTTCGCCATTATTCTTATGTTAAATTACAATAATTTGCAACTGCAAACAATAAACTAATAACGTCGAATGTCATTAAGATTATAAATTATGAAATGTAATTAAGTTTACATGACTCTTGTTAAGGTATAACTGTTTCTATGCACTGAGGACATGTATAAATACACATAATATATCCCTGGATCGAGTTAGAATCCAGGATGTCCATAATATTTAAACACTACACGCCGGTAATCCATTTAGCTTGAACTAATGCAGGGGATGTTGGGTAACCCTTTCGACTGTCTTTCTCAACGGAAAAATGTTTTAGCAGGTCATTAATTGGGACCTAAATTAAATTTTCCAGCCTCTATTTACGTCCTATGATCAACGGAATGCATACAGACAAATTGTTGTAGTTCTTTCCCGCAGCCAGGTGTCAGCTTTGCGCAAGTTGATCTTTATATGGGACTGATAAATGTCAGACCCCGTTGCTTATTCTGGATAACTTTATTACCAATACACATTAGTAGTAACGATAACATTTATTATGTACATCATGCAACTAGTTACTATACCAGTTCTGCATTTTTAATTTCCTACAATCAAAAATTCCAATTCGTATGAATTTCCGAGATTGCTGCTACTCTTGCACTAAAAGTGATCTGATATTATTTTGCAGCGATGCTTATTAAAAATACTCGGGAATCTAATAAGTTTGTTTATTCTATAATGCATAAAACAACACGAAAAGTTGATGGAACTAAAGAATATAAGCAACTATAAATTATAATATTTAAATTAGTTACACACCCATGTGTGTAATATCCATTACTATAATTGTCCACTATCTAAAAACCCGTAAGTCAAACGTGTTGGTAATTCCCTACTATAGTATGACTAGAATTTTGCTGGATTTAAAACAAAAGGAGCTATGCAAGTCGATCAGTAACGGAAACTTGCCGTTCCTACGACACGTCAATTAGTACTGACATTTCATTTAAAATAAAGTAGAGTAAAGCTGTCCTACTGCACACCATGTAAGCTCTTGAGGGTAAAGACGGTGAGCGATGATAATGAGGCAGGCAGTGAGCATTTCTGTAAGATCGGTCAATTTCTATGAGAGTACTAGACGCAAAATCTCAGAAGTCAGTCAACTTCATATTATTTATAATTTTAAAAACTGTCACATTATACCCATGACTTTTCTATGCAGTTTACATGTTACAATTTGTTAGCGTTCCGCATGAGATAATGCGACAAATAAATTACGCTCACAGAGGACTAAGCCTGTTACACGTATTATACGAAGAGTTCTTTGCGGACTATGTGCAGACGGCATGAAACGCGATCACAGCATCAGAAATGACATTAGGAGAACAGCAAGACATAAAAGAAACTCACGTGTTATGAAGGAATGAAATATGTACCAGTCTTGGGATTCATGCAAAATCACTGCTCTTAGAATGCCCCGTTCAAGATTCTCATTCCAAATTCTCCGTAACAAAAGAAGTCTGAATATTTTTGGTTTAGAACCTGCAAACACTGTCATTAATTACAGCTACTTTATCGTGTGATGTTATTAATCCCACGACACTAGAACACGCAAATTTCAAGGTTCCCCGTAATTTCCAGACAGCTGTGTTTCGAAATAACACACGATTGTTTCAATACTACTGAACCAATAACCTCATTCCTAGCCTCGGTTATGTTCGGTGTTTAGCTTCCGCCAACTGCTCTAATTAACTTATACCACAATTATCATTATCATATCCCAACAACCCCAGGGCTTTCTGTCATGAATTCTCATCTCTCATAAATTCAAATGTTTCGTTAAATAATTGAGTTTTTAACAATACGTTATGGCTTTGTAAAACCAGGTTATTTGTTATGGAGACATTACTAACAAATACTGGGGTTCTGACGGTGGTGAGGATGATGAATTTGTTCTGTGTCTGCAGCCCCTTTTAATGAAATAGTCTTAAGCACATAATAATTTATAAATATATAACACTTGCCACAGCGTGTCTCATTCCCTTTTCGAAACTGCAACTTTTGAAAAAAGACTGTAATATTTAATTATCCGTCTGTTTCGTAAAATAATATAGAAACTGTTGCATTTATATTAGATACAGAGTTCTTCAAAACTGTATTAACAAGAGACATCTTTTAACTCCTAATTAGGAAACAGAAAATAAAAATTAATTTAAATATTTTAATTTATCAAATATTTATTAAAAATTCAATGTAATTCAAAACAAGATCACCTATTACTAGTACCACTGGAGACATAATGTTTTTATAACTTGCCCAAAAGCTGTCAACATGCCAGAAATTGTAATATTTGATACTGTTGTGAATAAATGCTTATCTCTTCTATTAAATTACTGTTACGTAGCTCTAGGACTTTGTTCCAGACAGGAACGCAAAGGTGTGACAGAATCTTGCGGTGACATATTACTCACCTGCTGGTGTTGTCCGGCGACTTGGCGCTGCCGCGAGCCCCGACCTAAAACAAACGTGGAAATTAGGACACGCAGTCTGGCCAACATTACAAACAGCATTAACCAGCATGTCTTTGTAATAGTGATGTGTTGTTTCTTTTGAGGTGCGGACTGGGTGCTTAAATATGAAGATGAGCCTAAGTTACAAAGTGTTAATAAACAATACCATCCCCAGTAGTTGGATACAATATAAAGTCCTTATAATTATTCAGCAGTTAACAAGATATAAATCTCGGAAAATAAAACGTCATATCAGTAAGTCAGAACAATGGTACATACCCGTGAGAAGAAATCCTTGTACTGCAGCATAGCAGCAGATTAATGAATAATAACAGTTGAACAACGCGCCCAGTCTATATCCTCGAAGTCTTCACAGATGGTTCTTGTCTCAACTTACTGCTCCGAGCGTGTTAAAATAAACGACCATTAATGGATCAGAGACAACGAAAGGAACCAGCTGTTCCTGTCTTCTACATGTGTAACTGCTAGATTTTTGCTACAGGGCATGCACATTACAAACAAAATAAGACTCGGACAGGGTTAAGCCTTAAAGACACAAGTTAAGGTTATCATCACGACATACTGGCGTATATGGGACTTGGAGGTAAAGCTCCGTGGGTTACAGACCTTGATTTAGATGGAGATGAGCAGGAAAGTTATGCCCCAAGCTTTTTGATCCATGACCAACATTATTAGGCGATCAGATGGGCCGTAGAACCGTCTGGACACAGCAGAGCAAAACAGAAAAATGCGGAACATGTTTTAAGAAGACTATTACCACAAAAAATTAAGAAACGTTAATTAAGTTGCAGTAATGTCGCTCCCATAAGAAGTTTACAGGATCGACATGTTGGTATTATTGAGTATAGGAGAGTAATAATTCAAACTATAGTCCCTAGTGGCATTCCTTCATATCAAGTTTAATTAAAATCCGTCAGTCGGTCGAGAAGTAATTGTTATTATTTTCGTTGCTGTGGGTGAGACTATTAGTCCTTGTAAAACTGGGCCTCTAACGGGGCGTTTGTACATCCCTATTAGAGAGGATGCATGGACACTAACAATTTGATATGGTGACACTATAAAATTGTAATTATTATAGCTCGAAATTTAACAGGCCTATTGCTTGAATTTTAGGTGTTAACATTGTCAGACTTGGCTTTTTATGAAGAATAATTTTTCTGCCTTATTTTCGAATCTTTTTCGATATTTTGTAGGATTCTTCGAAGAGGTGCTCAGTCCATGACGAGGCGTAAACCTACACAGGAAACTGCACCACAAAAAACACATTCATGTTTCGAGTAAGGTTCAAACCCATGATACAAGTTACCAAGACTCTTACCTTCGAAATTTAATATTAACAAATTTAAATTTATATGCATTACGAGGCTTATAAAATCTACAAATTTTCGTGTTAATAATCATAGCAAAGATAAACGGAAATAGGATATTATTAATTAAGAAGTTAAAATTCGATCGTGGAGCATAAGGAACACCAATCGAAAAATAACGAAACTAATTTTCCATAAGACTTCTTCTTGGCGCAACAGCCGTGATCTCCACTGTAATGTTGATATTTCCTAACCACTCATGCAGGCAAGTTAGCGGTGAGGCGTCCTGGATGATAATCAGACCTTCACAAGGTAGGGTTCTACCTACCATCTCACGACAACACAGAAAACTCGAACAAGCAGTCATAACTCAACGGATTCCAAATCACAATCACGTCTGAATTGCATGAGATCAACACGATTTAAATTACTCGTACATCAACAGCACAGCCAAGCAGGCAACAAAGGAAGACTGACAATAAGTACCATAGATTCTGTTGTTTTAACACTTTGGTGTTGTGTAAATATTAATATATCATTGATACTGTAGAAGGCAGATCGAACTAAACACACGACTCACATATTCACTGAACAACGCGGTAATCACTGGCAGAATGAAAACGTATTCGGCGTGTTGTTTCTTTGACCGTCCCACAGGTCCGACTCAACATGGTGGCACCACAGAAGCATGAGACCAACATTTATAGACGTGATAGTATCGGGCTCAAAAACGTTGCCCCTCGAAATGATCAGCAAGGTCCTACAACGCTCGATGACCAATATTACGAACGAAAGTTATCATAAAATCAGTCTCCTGATACTTAAAATCATTGCGCAAGTTAATTTATTAAACTATGCTTTTTTATTTAGTGGAAAGAGGCAGTATGACCTCTGAAACGTTGGTTAACATCTACCAGACTACACAGCGCAACAGCCCGGAAGATAGAAATATTTATTCTTACCGCTATGAAAACCTCAAATCTTATTAGGAAAGCTTTATGTTTAGCGGT